TCTGTCCGTATGTCTGTCCGTCCGTCTGCGTACGCTCGCTTGCGGGGGATTTGGCTCTCGGACCGTGGGGATCGCGTAGAAAAAAAATTTGCCGGGCGGCACGCCCCAGGCCCCGCGGTGGGAATAGGCCATTCCGTTTTTCCATCCCTAAACTTTAAAGTGGTTAAAATCGCGTTTTGGTGCGATTTATCTATATTTATTTATTTATGCCGACCGGCTCGCTGCTGCGCATGCGCGAAACGCTAACGCGAGTTGCCCCTGGCAACGCACAGCGATTAAATAGTATTATTGTAGCGCGGGGCGGGGGTGGGTGGGATAGCGGCCCAGCCCCCAGCCTCGGCCGGCCGTGCAATCTAGGCGAGGCCGGGGGCTCTGCACGGGACTAGGCCTCGTCACGGCAATCTGTCAGGTGAGTACTTTGTGCTAAAGAGTCGATAAATATATATTGCTACTAGCGGGGAAATATATTAAAAAACGTCTGAAAACTTAAAAACATAACATACAAATGAAAAGATAACTCATTAATTTAAAATCAAATATAACCCGATCGCGCCAATAATCGATTCTTTAAATCGCGCTAAGAAATCGAAGGTTGTAGATTCCTTTGGAATCGTCTTGAAGCGACGACACGCAACAGACATCATAGTTCATAGTTCATTTATTTGGTATAGCCCTGTGAGCCATTCGGCTCTTGAATCGGGTGCAACCGCAACAAACAAAAAACATGAACAAGAAAACATCTTAAAGTGATTATGTGACTGTGCAAACAGAAAATACAGGAAAAAAATATCAAAATATTCCTGAAATAGCACCGTACACCAACGCTGTGTGCAAAAATCCCAGTGGGATGCAAGTCAAATAACAACAACAACCACAAGACAACTAAGATTAAGGCCATCAGTCTAACTCCGTACTACAATAAACAAAAACATGGCCAAAACAAAAAAAACTTTTCGAAATCACCAAAATAAAAGCCATAAATCCAATGTAACAGTGATCATAGGGACTGTGACCGAATTTTTAACAATAAACTACATAAATAAATTATAACACCAAAATCTAGAGCCATATTTTAGGCCACTGAATAGCAGTGGCAGCTAGGGTTGTACAACTCCTCTAGAGCAGTTTTGAGTGAAGATCTCATAGGTAGTGATTCAAGTTGCAGTTTATTGGCAATAACATTCCAGACCCTGGGGGCATCAATAGCAAAGGCCCTTCCTCCAGTTTTTGTACGGCAATAGGGAATGTGAAGCTGGTAAATGAGCGAAGACCTGAGGTCAAATTTGTTCTTTGAAACAGAGAGGAGATCCAGTAGGTAGTCTGCGGAATTTTTTGTAAGTACATCGTGAATAAATAAGATCTGGTGCACAAGCCATCGAACATTAAGAGATGTTAAGTTTGACCCAATGTAGAGATCACAGTGAGATCACAGAGATCACATAATGGATAAACCAGCAAATCTTAAAAAAAGTATTACAACGCTGTATGCTCAAATCCCAGTGTGATGCAAGTGAAACAATACCAACCATAAGATAGATTAACCCTATGTTGTCGGCAAGTATGCTAAACATCTTCTTTGGTTCTTTCGGTAAAGTCACGTAGAATGAGAATAAAATAATAAAATAACACGATAAAATTCTCACGACGTTTCGGCCACAATGCAAGCGGCCGTCTTCAGGTGAAAGGAACAGACATTTCGAACAGACACATATTCACAACTTTTCCTTTCATATATAAGATAGATAGAGTCAGCATGTACTAGTGTAGTGAAAGCTGTAATCATAGCAGGAACCACCATAGTCGGTATGCACTGCTGTAGTCATAGCAGGATACCACCACAGTCAGCATGCAATGCTGTAGTCATAGCAGGTACCACCACAGCAGTATGCAATGCTGTAATAGCAGGTACCACCACAGCAGTATGCACTGCTGTAATCATAGCAGGTGCCACCACAGCAGTATGCACTGCTGAAATCATAGCAGGTACCACAACAGCAGTATGCAGTGCTGTAATTATAGCAGGTACCACAACAGGAGTATGCACTGCTGTAATCATAGCAGGTACCACCACAGCAGTATGCACTGCTGTAATCATAGCAGGTACCACCACAGCACGGTGTATTCATAGCAGGTACCACCACAGTCAGTATGCACTGCTGTAATCATAGCAGGTACCATCACAATATGCACTGCTGTAATAATAGCAGGTACCACCACAATCAGTATGCACTGCTGTAATAATAGCAGGTACCACCACAATCAGTATGCACTGCTGTAATCATAGCAGGTACCACCACAATCAGTATGCACTGCTATAATAATAGCAGGTACCACCAGTCGGTATGCACTGCTGTAATCATAGCAGGTAGCACCACAGTATGCAGTGCTGTAGTGATAGTAGATACTGCTATCGAGTTGGTAGATACTGCTATATCGAGTTAGTAGATACTAAAACAGTCGGTATATACCACTACAGTCATTAAATACTGCTACAGTTAGCAAATACTACTACACAGTCAGTAGATACTACTACGGTCAGTAACTACTGCTATAGAGTCAATTGTTACTCCTATACATTTAGTAGATACTGCTTTAGAGTTAGTAGTTACTACTATAGTCAGTGGATACTACTATAGAGTCAGCAGATACTACTAGACAGTCGTTACTACTGTAGAGTTGGTAGATACTACTGTAGGCCCAGTAAATACTGCTACGGTCAGTAGTTATTACAGTCACTAAATACTACTACACAGTCAGTAGCTACTACTGGCTCAGTAGATACAGTCATTAGATACAACTACAGAGTCAACAGATACTACTTCCTCTGTTTTATGTAGGGTATATATACCTACGCAGGGGTAAAGATATTTTTGAGGGGGGGGTCGACAATTTTCAGAAACCTTTTAGATAAACTATTTACCCCCCACTTTCTATAACTTTCTGGACTTGTGCAAGCTTCTTATAATTTCGTTGGTGCAGAAATGGACAAACGGCCCACAGGGCTTTCATAACAGCTTACTATCTGTGTATGTAAATGTACGGTTTTAAAGAGAAGTTTTGAAATAGATTTTTTTACCCGGGCTACGCCGGGTACTTACCGCTAGTATATATATAATCTTACAAAATGAACACACCTGGCCCTTCTGGAGGTGATGGTTCTGGCTCATTGATGCCGGAGGTTGGAGGTGGGGGTGTCTTGTCCTTCGATGCAGTTGGTTCTGTAGGAAGAGTGCAAACCTCACTGATTGGCTGTGCCAGGTGGTGGTGCATTTAAGTACACATTTACCTGATCCAACAAAAAAAATGATGGCATTTAATATATTATCCATGTGATTTTGCAACTAATTCCAGAATGGTACCTGGGCTTGCTTTAGATGGAGTTGGTGCAGGGGGTCCACCTGCTGTGGAGCAGCAGAATCTGATCTTGTAGTTGTAACATGGCAGTCCTCCTTGATCCTCATTGACACATTTCAGTCCTTTACTCTTGTCACAAGTTATTGTCTGGCCCAATTCCTGCCATGGGGTATTGGGGAATCTCTCGGCTTTGCATTCAATGTTTTGCACCGGTGAGTCAGGCAGACAAACCACTTTCCCTGAGGCTATGACCTTCTGGTAAGATTCCTCATCTCCGCCATTTTCTTCATCAGGATATTGCTCATGGTACCAGTCAGACCAGCCTGGAGTACAGTCTTCTGCAAAGATACATTCTTAATCAGTCTTCAAACGATAACAATATATATCAACTCCTGTTTCTCCACGGTAATGTTCTGAAAGCTAATTTTTTTTTTCAAAACTATGAATGCTCCATTGCTATGAGCGTACAAAAAACTTTGCATATCATTTTGCACAGGAAGTATACAATGAGTCTCTTCATCCTGAATTAACCGCACGTAAACCTTTAGAATGTTGTGGAGGCTCAAAGCTAAAGAACAGTGAGCTGCCAACTCCTTCTGTTAGCATGACCCACTTTTAAATAGATACGCTGCCTTAATCACCAGCACTGCCCACATCGTTGGTAGTTTCACGCGGAAACAAGCTGACCTACTGCTCAGTAATTTACTCCTATTCCGCTACGAACCCAGCCTAGAGTTCATTAGTCCCACCCTGTTCCAGTATAATGAGCCAAGTATGGGACCAGAAGACTATAAAGCAGGACAAAATCACACTTTTACAATTATTCAGGACCCTTCGATAGATTTTTGTAACCGGCAATGTCCCGACCCTACCAGAGCATATGGTTGCTTGAATTGAACATTTGATTGCATTTAATATATTATCCATATTTGATTTTGCAACTAATTCCAATATGATACCTGGGCCTGGTGTTGGGGGTGATGGTTCTGGCGCCATGTTGCTGGAGGTTGGAGGTGGGTGTGTCTTGTCCTTCGCTCCAGTTGGTTCTTGAGGAGGAGCACCACTCTCTTCAGGAGCTGGCTTTGTTGGCTTTTCCTCAACCGGGGGTTTGGGTGTCACTTTTAAAGAAAAGCAAGGGATGGATGTTGACAGAATTTAGATTGCTCATGAATTTTCAGTTGAACCTTGTAAAATGTTGTAAGCAACCTTCAGTCGATATTTTCAATTGGCATTTCGAATAATTTACTTGAAAGTTATACTAAATCATGTATAGCTGTTTCCCAATACACTGCTCAATTAAATCCTCCTCACGGTGTCTGCGTTGGGGGGGGGGTTATTTTACCATCCTTCATCATGCTATTCATTGGAGTTTATTGAACGTCCGATGAGGGAGCATGGAAGTACATCACAATTAAGAGGTGTGGCATTCTGCTCTGTGAAGTCTATGTTGTAAATATTCAGCCTATGACATCTGTTGCACAGATTGTCAGCTATCCAACACCTATCCATAAGCAAGTCCTAATTAGTTTCTAAGATCTAACAAATTAAGTCACATTGTTTGATTTGATCATAAGCAGTATACTTCCTGTATATATAATCTTATAAAATGAACACACCTGGCCCTTCTGGGGGTGATGGTTCTGGCTCCTTGCCGCTGGAGGTTGGAGGTGGGGGTGTCTTGTCCTTCGGTCCAGTTGGTTCTTGAGGAGGAGCGCCACTCTCAGCCGGAGCTGGCTTTGTTGGCTTTTCCTCTCCTGGGGGTTTCGGTGTCACTTTGAAAGAAATGGCAAGGGATGGATGTTGACAGAATTCAGATTACTCATACATTTCCAGTTGAACCTTGTAAAATGTTGTAAGCAACCTTCAGACAATACTTTCAATCTGCATTACAAATAAGTTACTGAAAGGTGAGACTAAATAACGTCAAGCTCTTTGCCAATACACTGATTAATTAAAGCCTCCCAACGGTGTCTGGGTTGGGGGGGTTGTTTCCCCATCCTTCATCATGCTCTTCAGTGCGGTTTAGTGAACGTGGGATGAGGGAGCATGGAAGTACATCACAATAAAGAGGTGTGGCATTCTTCCCTCTGTAGTCCACATTATAAATATGCAGCCGATGGCATGTTAAACAGATTGTCCCCCATCTAAATCTCATCCAGGCGCAAGTCTAATTAGTTGATGGAATCTAACCAATTAAGTCACATTATTTGCTTTGATCCTAAGCAGTATACTTCCTGCATATATGTAATCTAACAACATGAACACACCTGGCCCTCCTGAGGGTGAGGGTTCTGGCTCCTTGTTGCCAAAGGTTGGAGGTGGGGGTGTCTTGTCCTTCGGTGCAGTTGGTTCTTGAGGCGGAGCGCCACTCTCTTCAGGAGATCACTTTGTTGGCTTTTCCTCTACCGGAGGTTTCGGTGTTTTTTTGAAAGAAAAGCCAGGCATTGGGTGTTCACAGAATGTACATTGCATTGACTTGGGGACATGTAAGTACAGCAAAATAAAGAAATGTGGTATCCTGCCCTCTGCAGCCTATAACATGCAATCTATAACGCATATTACGGATGTGGGCAACCATTCCTGACTTCCAGGACAACCCTATTTCATTTCTGAGATCTGAGAAATATACGCGCATTCTGCGCTATTTTGTTCATAAGAACTATATGGCCGGTATAAACATATGTACATTAAAAAAACTTGCAAACGAAACACACCTGGCCCTCCTGAGGGTGAAGGTTCTGGCTCCTTGTTGCCGGAGGTTGGAGGTGGGGGTGTCTTGTCCTTCGGTGCAGTTGGTTCTTGAGGCGGAGCGCCACTCTCTTCAGGAGCTGGCTTTGTTGGCTTTTCCTCTACCGGGGGTTTCGGCGTCACTTTGAATGAAAAATCCAGGGATGGATGTTGACAGAATTCAGATTAAATTTCGATTTAAAGCTTTCGTGACTGCAAGGATTCGTCTTCTTTGGTTCTTTCGGTAAAGTCACGTAGAATGAGAATAAAATAATAAATTGATAAAATAAAATAACACAATAATATTCTCACGACGTTTCGGCCACAACACAAGCGGCCTTCATCAGGTGAAGGGACGAGACTGTCTGGAGGACAGCATTGGAGTGAAAAAGCCACGCTCAGATCGCGACCTTTAAGCTGTGCGAGAAGAAACAAAGCGCCTTGACAAAGGAATTAGCATTGAATTTAACATTGAAATGGCTGAGTGATTAGCTTGTGACTGGTCACAGAAATGGCTATGTTAAAGTTAAAGCATACACATCCGCAGAGGCACCCCTTGACAAAGGAATTAGCATAGAATTTAGCATTGAAATAGCTAAGTTAAAGCATACACATCCGCAGAGGCACCCCTTGACAAAGGAATTAGCATAGAATTTAGCATTGAAATAGCTGAGTGATTAGCTTGTAACTGGTCACAGAAATAGCTATGTTAAAGTCAGAGCTTACACATTCACAGAGGCACCTTGTACAAATCAAACAGGATAATTTAGCATTGAAATATTTAGGCGAATTTAGCATTGAAATAACTGAGTGATTAGCTTGTGACTGGTCTCAGAAATGGCTATGTTGAAGTCAAGGCCTACACATCTGAGCTATTCACAGTAACTGGGTATACACTACAATATATAATGAATACTATATAGTGAACCAATAAAAAACAATAAAAAACTAAAATATAAATTACCTCAATGTTATCAATAAACTCTATATATTCTCCAATCAGCTAAGCTACCAACAATAAGTCGTTATATATCACAATGCTATATGGCGAAAAAATGGGTGGATTCTTACCCTCAACTTTAGCAACACGGATAGCTAACGGGCCCCGATCAGACGGACGAGTTCATCCATGGTCGGAACAGAGGAGGGGGAGAGAGACAGCTGCGAGGCGCTGTTATACTCCATGTTGTAAACCATACCATTAACCGTGGTGTGAGAGGTATTAAGAGTCAATGCCAGCGAAAGAGCTGCGGTCTGAAGGTCATCGTAAAATACAATTAATTAAGAATGGAAATGGTTTAAAACATCTTTCCAATGGTTACTAAGCCAGAATCCATCTTCTCGGTTGAAATTGTCTCTGTGCTTGTATATGTGAATGGCCTCATGAACGAATCTCTCATGGTAGCCGGTTGGTTTGCAAAGAACCTCCGTCTTGGAGAAGTCAATGTCATGTGAGCCCACTGAATTATAACAGTGATCTGCCACGGCAGAGGAGTTCGTTCTACCATGTTTCAAGTCTGCTTTACGTTCGCAGATGCGGTCCGGGATATGTCGTTTGGTTTCTCCAATGTAGCTACTACCACAGAGGCACATTAGTTTGTAAACGCCCGGGTACTGTATGTCTGGAACAGCATCTTTTACAGATGGAACTAGATCACGGATTTTATGTACTGTGTTGAATCGGACCTGGATCTTGTGTTTATTCAGGATTTTGGAGATCTTTTAGTGACCCCTGCAATGTAGGGTAAGGTGATGGTTTTGAGTGGCTCCACAAGAGGATCCTTCTTTATGACTGGAGTGATGGCTTTGCGGAATGTAGTCAGAGTAACCATTAGCCCTGAGAGCCTGGTGTACGTGCTTGAGTTCACTGGTAATGTGTTCCTGGTCGGAAATGCATTGGGCTCTATGGTATAGAGTCTTGATGAGGGAATTCTTCTGGGATGGATGGTGGTGGGAATCCGGTTTCAAGTAAGCATCTGTATGGGTAGCTTTCCTGTAGACAGAGTGGCTCATTGAACCATCATGTCTCCTTTTAATTAAGACATCCAAAAAGGGTAGTTTGCCATCTTTTTCGACCTCCATGGTAAATCTGATGGCTGGGTGTATGGAATTGATGTGGTCGCGGAATTGGTCTAGAGCAGGCTGGCCATGTGGCCAGATGACAAAGGTGTCATCCACGTACCTCTTCCATAAGGTCGGGCGTAGAGTGGCAGTCTGGATGGTGTCAGTTTCAAATTTTTCCATGAATACGTTGGCTACAACCGGAGATAGGGGGGAGCCCATTGGGGTGCCCTCAGTTTGTTTGTAGAAAGTTCCATTCCAGGTGAAGAATGTGTTGGTTAAGCAATGTCTCACCAGGGGGGGTACATCAGTATGCAGTCCTTGATGAACCAGGTCTTCAATGATAGCGAAGGTGTCAGGTACCGGGACTTTGGTGAACAAGGACAGCACATCAAAACTGACAAGCAGGTCGTCTGGAGACAGGGAAATGCCTGTGATTGTCGATACCAGGTGAGTAGAATTTAGTACCGCAGAGGTGTTTTTTCCAGTGAAAGGTCGCAGTATATCAGCAAGAAAACGTGCCAGTTTATAGGTGGGGGAGTTGATAGTAGAGACGATGGGATGAAGGGGTGTATCTTCTTTGTGTATCTGGAAGGCCATATAATCTTGGTGGTCTGGCAGCAGAGGGTTTCAACGAGAACTGTTTGGTCTCATCAATTAATGCTGTTGAATCAGAGATGATTTTGTTCGTTTTGGTAACCAGGCTGTTGGTGGGATCTCTTTTTATTTTTGTATAGCTGCCATCGTTGAGTAGTTCTTGAATTTTGTTGTTATATTCTGTTTTGTCCATGATGACAGTGGCATTGCCCTTGTCGGCTGAGAGGACGACAATATCATCTCTCTTTTTTAATTGAGATAATTCAAAACGTTCGTCTTTGCTGATGTTGCTGGGTGGCAACTTAGCGTTTTTGAGGGTTGCAGCGATTTCAGATCTTGCTACGTCTGCAGAGATGTGACTCAAGTCCTTGAGTGCAACGTCGACATGGGAAATTATATAATTAACCGGTAAGTGTCTCGGTGTGACAGCAAAGTTTAGACCTTTAGCTAAAACGGATTTCAGACCATCAGAAATGAAACTGTTACTGCGATTAATTACGACTTTGTTGACGTCTATCTTTTCGGTGTGTGGATCCGATTTTTTGTTGGAGAGGTGATTGAATTTGGAAATCAAATTGTCCCTACATTTGGTCGACATAGTGGCAGCCGAAGAGGTAGTCATATTGTCTACATGTTCCCAATCCGATGTAGACATTGTTGCTGTCAATGTTAAGTGTGATTTGTAGAGTGTCTTGTCTAACTGATCGAGTTCGGTGCGTGTAAGTCTGATTTTTTCCGAGATAAGAGCGAAGCTAGTTCTAGCTAGAATTTGTTTTGCATTGAGAGAAGTTGCAGCAGCAGAGGTTAGTGTAAATGCGGTTGGTATTACCTTAGAGTCGCGGCATCTCTTCAGAAAGGTGAGAGACTCGATTAGTTGAGCCTTCTTATCCCGGAGTCTGTTGAATGATCTTAAGGTTGTGCGGAATCCCTCCCCGTAGAGGCGGTTAAATTTCGATTTAAAGCTTTCGTGACTGCAAGGATTCATCATGGACACTCGCTAAATAAACTAACTATCATGGACACTCGCTAAATAACCTAACCATCATGGACACTCGCTAAATAACCTAACCATCATGGACACTCGCTAAATAACCTAACCATCATGGACACTCGCTAAATAACCTATCATGGACACTTGCTAAAACAACTTAACCAATATGGACACTCGCTAAATAACCTAACCATTATGGACGCTCGCTAAACAATTTAACCAACATGGTACTGTATCGCCACCGTGTGGGCACATGGTACAACTGCAGTGCCTCGGCGCGGTAACAGCAGCAGTGGCACTGTGCGGTGTCTTCACAGTTTCATTGCAGCCAACCGCGCTTGGCACTAACGCCAGGACACCGCAGCACCAGCGACTCACAACTGCGGGGAATGCGCGGGTGACGCCTGACAGCGGCAACTGCTGGCCTACTGTGTTGGCCTGTACTGCACATGTCCACCACATAGCAGACGTAACCACTAATTGAATGCTTGTGGTACTGCACTTGTCCACCAGAGGGCACAAGTAACACGTCAAGCGCCGGTAATAAAAACGAAACTGGCCGATTTGCACTGCAATTCTTAATTTTTTTCACGGATTTTCAAGTAACAAACTACTGCATTGACATACCAAGCTGTCCCATACGTTTCCTCTGTTGAATATTTGGTGAACATCGGTGCTGAAGTAGTGAAACGCGCTGCATTCCCAAACAGTGCGCTACAAATCGGCAACAATCACACCCAGCATCGACTGATGCTGGATGTAATTACCAGTGAAACGTCGTACTAAAACTGTAGATCTTGTGGATTCACTCTTCAACATACCGGTGGGCTAAAGTAGTGAACTATTTGTCTTTTGTCAACGTGACACTTTTTTGCTGATTGGCCGTGTCGGGTGGTGGAGGGTTACGACACATTTATAAATAACGCGATCTAACCCAAAAGCCTTTATTATGAATTATAAGGTTGCACTCATTACATACAAAGCGCTTGCCACAAATGAACCTCAATACCTTGCTGACATTATCACGCAAACTCTGGTCATCCTCGCGGCACCTTTTGGCTAGTCATCGAATAAAGACGGTCTCTGCATTGCACGCTTTCAGATGCACTTTTGCATCCATCTGGAATGTTTTTCCTTCCGATATTAGGAAGTCACTGGAGCTACGCATTTTTAAAATCTATATTGAAAATAAATTTTCTTTAGAACTGCTTTTTGAGCTTAGTAAGTTGTCCTTCGATGAGCATAGTTGGCTCTGTACGGTTTGAAAGAAGTTCAACATACACACCAACATGGACACTCGCTAAAAAACCTAACCATCACGGACACTCGCTAAATAACCTAACCAACATGGAAACTCGCTAAATAACCTAACCAACATGGACA